TCCGATGGTGATCCCTAGATAGCGAAGCTTACGAGCCAGGGCCGCGATCCCTCCGTCTCCCGCTCTACCCGCCCTGATCCCGACTGACTGGGATGGTCTCCTTTTGCGCTCCTCGAATCGCTCGGGCGCTGAGCCATCCAGCATTCTCCCTGGCGCCCGCCTCGGGCTCATCTCTCCCCCCTCCCCCTCCGTTCCCATCTCCTCGCAGTCCTCGTCCAACTGTCCCACGAGCTCGGCCAGCAAGCAATAGACCAAGCCTTGTCGCATGAGCGGAGGCATCCCGAGGTCGGCTCGGCAGAGGGGCACGGCCAGCTCGCACGGCCTTGCACGCACTCCCGAGCCATCAGATTTTACGCATGGGGACCGCGGAGCGGCTGAGGCGAGCGACCCGAGCATATTGCAAAGGGCTGGAAATGAAAAAAACGCCCTGATGGCAGCCCAAGAGGGCTCCAAGAGGCGCCTTTTAAGCAAGCTCCGAGATGGCGCCCAGAGGGCATCCAGGGCCCCCGAGAGCGCACCAAGATGGCCCCAAGAGGTCCCCAAGAGGCCCCCAAGTGGCACCCAAGTGGCCCCCGCGGTCGCTAAGAGGCCCCGCGGGCTTGTGCCCCCCCCCCCCGTGGGTGTGGATCCCCGCTGGGCTTGTGGAAGCCTCCCCCGGGGTTTGTGGCCGCCCGCCCCCCCCGAGGTTGCGGAACTCCCACCAGGGCATGTGGACTCCCCCGCGGGTTTCTGGAATTCCCCCCCAGGCTTGTGGAGTCTCCACGCGGGTTAGTGGAACCGCCCACGGGGTTTGCGCCCCCCCCTTGGGGGTTGTGGAACCTCCTCGTCCTCTGCGCCAGTGGGGGATCCTCCGCGGATCTGTGGAACTCTCCTGGGGGTTGCCGTCTTGCATGTTAGGGCTGTCTTAGGGCCCTCTTGGGCAGCGTCGAGACTCTCCCGGGGGGGGCTTGCTGGAGCGTCTTGGGACGATTTTCGCGGCCTCGTGAACCGTCTTGCGCCGTGGAACAAGCCACTTTCTTAAACCATCTTCGGCACCCAGGGCCTCTTAGGCTGTCTTGGGCCCTCTTGGGGGGCTATTGATCAGGTGCCCGACACCCTGGCCACACCAGCACTGCAATCTGGCCTGCAAGCCGGCCAGCCCAAGGTCGCCCCAAGAGGCCCCCAAGAGGCGCCCAAACGGCCCCCGCGACCGCCAAGAGGGCCCCAGGACACCCGAAGCGGGACACCCGAAGCGGCTTCCAAGAAGCTCAGCGAAGAAACCCGCAAGAGACATCCCAAGAGACTCCGAGAGGCATCCGAGAGGCCTCTGGCCCTTCACCTCGCACACCTCCTCCTCCTCCTCCTCCTCCTCCTCCTCCTCCTCCTCCTCCTCCTCCTCCTCCCTATAGCCTCGGGCCCGAGGGGTCCCCCCTTTCAGGTCACAGCAACTCTTCTCCGATGTGAACAGGTACCCTTCGGCCGCGCGGCCGATTCGCTATGGAACGCCGCTGATGTCACTGCTGCGTGTCCTGGGATGGCATCCGCAGTATGCAACAGGAGGTCGCTCACAGGACATCTCGTTGAGCACCATGAATGTGGATTTTGTCTTACGTGCAGGAACGCAGACTGCATGCAGAGAGCCGGCAGAGGTATTGCAGAAGAAAGTTTCAGGAAGAGTCGTCTTGGAAGCGGCAGTGCAGCGAGGTCATTTCACACATCGGAGCGCAGTTGTATCCATCATGATGGGGAAAATGGTTCAGCGAGAAGCATGTCAGACAAATGTTCGCCAGCCCTCCCGAGCTCTGGGGTCGTTCTGTTGCTGCGCATGTACGGCGTGGGCTGTTTTTTTTTTTTTTTTTTTTCCTTTTCTTTTTTCATTTTGTGTTTTGCTTTTTCTTTTTCGTTTTTTTTCTTTTTTTTTTTCTTTATTTATTGTTTTTCATTGTCATTTTTCTTCTTTTTTTTTTTTCCTTGTTATTTTCCTTATTTTCATCTTTATTTCCTCTTTTTCTCTTGCCAATTCTCTGGGGTGAACATTTTGTGTCGGAGTTCTGTACTTCCCACCGCAGCCGCACAGTAAGAGAGTGGTCTGGGGCTGTTCTGGGGTGGTATGGGGCTGCGCTGGGCGCCTCTTCGGCAGTCTTGGAGCCTTCTTGGCCTGTCTTGGGGCCGTCCTGAGGGTCTCTTGGGCGGTCTTGGGCTGGTCTTGGGAGGCTCTTCGGCGCTCTTGGACCATTGGAAGCTCACGCGAGAAACCAAAAACATTGAAAACGCAATTGAACATATACGACGTTGGCCTCTTCGGGCCGTGCCGTGATACTTATCAGACTGTTTGGGGTCTCTTGGAGGCCACCTGGGAGACTCGAGATCTTTTTTTCAGCGCGTTCCGGGAGCATCTTCCCGGAACGCGCTTGTGGCAGGGCGCCCGCGTCCGAGGACGCTGGCACGGGGAACCGCAGCGCGTGACCATTCCAGGCGTTCTGGCGGACTCCAGGAAGACTGAATGTCTTGTGAGGATGGTTTCCGCCTCTTGCCCCGAGCATCCCAAACTGCCTGGACGGGTGTCATTCGCCTTCCCCAGACCCAGCGCTTGCCCAAGCGCGTTCCGGACGAAAGACCGCTCCAGGACGCCCAATATAGGCCCAAGACGGCCCGAGAGGCCCCCCAAGGTTCTCCGCGACGCTTCAAGACGCCTCTCCAGAGCGCTTCAAGAGTCCGATATCGTCAATTTTACAAAAAGTTTTCGAACGATTTTGGCCTTCCAGCCTTTTCGGCTGTCCGACGTTCCAACGCGGCTCAATAGGCCCGGCCCAAGAGGGCCCCAAGAGGGCCCCAGAGTCGCCCAAGACCGCCCAACAGAGCCCCCAGACGGCCCCAAGATGCGCCCAAGAAGGGGACGACGACTCCCAAATTCGCCCCTCCGGCTTGAAAAGCGCCCCAGGAGGCCCCAAGGTGCCCCCAAGAGGCCCCAGGAGGCCCCCAAGAGGCACCCAGGAGGCCCAAACGAGGTCTAAAGAGGCCACATAACAGCCCCGAGGAGGCCCCACAACGGTCCCAAAACGGCGACCGAGAAACTGCGAAATTGCCTTCACGACGTCCCCGACAGGCCAACCACGAGATCCAAACCAACACCCGTAAGGCCTCTGACCCACCACCCAGGGCACGGTGACGGGAGCAGTGACAGCACTTGTGCACAGCATGTTCCGGCGGGGGCCATCCGGAACACGCTGCAGGAGGAGGAAAATCAGGAGGAGAGAGAGCTGGGGTGGGAGGAGGAGGAGGAGGGGGACGAGGAGGAGGAAGAGGTATCCAAGACAACTCCAAGATAGCCGAAGAGGCTTCCAAGAGGGCCCTGGGCGGCCCACGAGGGCCCCAAGGCGGTGCCTGAGGCGCCCAAGACGGCCCGAGAGGGCCCCAAAACGGCCCCAAGAGAGGCCCAAGGAGGGAAGCACGAACCGAGAATCCGAGCTTTCTACCCCGAGAGATTCTCAGGAAGTCGCAAGAGGCCCCCAATCGGATCCAAAAGGCCCCCAAGAAGCCCCCAAGAGTGCCGACGAGGTTCCAAGAGATCTCCCAAGGTGGGCCCAAGGGGCACAAGTCATTGTTTTTCGATTGGGCTTTGACAGGCTTTATTTTTTTCTGCCTTTTGGCATCCCGATGTTCCAAGACGGCCCAAGAGGCTTCCAATCCCGCTCCCATGTAAAGGAAGAGGCTTCCAAGAGGGCCCCAAGACGGCCCGCGAAGGCCCCAAGACGGTGCTTGAGGCGCCCAAGGCGGCCCGAGAGGGCCCCAAGAGCCCCAAGAGAGGCCCAAGAAGGGGAACGCGAGCCAACAGCAGAGCGTTCCCCCCAAAAGACCCACAGGAGGCCGCAAGAGGCCCTCAAGTGGTCCGACGAGGACGCCAAAAGCTTCCCGAGGGCCCAAAAGGCCCATAGGAGACGTCCAAGAGGTTTTAAAATAGCCCAAAGTGCCCTCGATGCGTCAAAACTGTTTCCAGGAGGCCCCCGGGAGGCTTCCGGATTGCGTCAATCTGGCCGCAGGTGGTCTCAAGTCGGGCCTCCACGCAGCCAAGACGGCCAATGGCGGCTTCAGATTGCAGAACCGATGCCCCCAAGGGGCCCTTAGAGGCCCCCCCCGGAAGCACCCAAGAGGTGCCTCCAACAGCCAGTTGACGAGGCATGCGGAACACCACAGAAGCTCCGCTGATGCCGTCGCGCGCCTGTGCTTGATAGCGACGTCCAAGATCGTCCAGCGCCCCCCCTGCCTGGGCTGGAACCTGAGCGCGCGCGAAGCGCGCGCGATGGTTTTTATTACATATATATATATATATACATATATATACATATATATATATATATATATATATACATATATATAAAAATAGATACATACTACGATTACTGTGGTGATCATGACTATTTGTACCACTACTACGACCACTACCGCTCATTGCGCCCGCCCAACAAATTCTGCTCTCAGGACACACTGTTGCGACTATTCCTGTTGCCGCTGCTACCGCTCAAGCTAGCTGTATATATTATTACGACTGGTGCTACCACTTTCACGAGTACTACCAATATGCATATAACGGCGCACTGGGTCCGGGGGCCTGGGGCCGGGACCTCGACCACAAATGTGGGCTCCGGGGGGCCCGGAGGCTCGTCGGACCGCCGGACGCCGTCCAAGATCGTTCGCAAACGGCTTCGGAACGCGCTCCGATGGCTCTTGATGCCTTCCAAGACGCCTGTCATGACACCAAGAAGGTCCCAGAAGCCTCCAAGACGCTCCGAGAGGAAGCCCAAGAGAGGCCCAAGAAGCAAACATCGTGCCATTCCTATGGGAAAACGTATATTTTTCGCATGTTCGCCTCTTGGGCTTTCACCGCGTCCAAGACGGCCCAAGAGGCGCCCAACACGGTTTACGAGGCCTCCGGGAGCACTCCAAGGCTGCGCGCGAGTGGCCCAGGACGGCCCCAAGGCGGCCCAAGAGAGCCCCAAGACGAGTTCGAGAGGGGTCCCAGACGGAGAAAGCCAACCTCGAATTCCGAGCTTCCGGCCCAAGAGGCTCCAGGAGGCGCCAAAATGCCGCCAAGAGGCGCCAAAAGGCTCCCAAAAGCACCCCAAGACGTTCCGAGAGGCACCCCAAGAGATGTCCAAGAAACGAAAAACGTGCCATTCCTTTGGGAAAACGTATATTTTTCGCATGTTCGCATCTTGGGCTTTCACCGCGTCCAAGACGGCCCAAGAGGCTTCCAAAACGGCCTAGGAGGCCTCCGGGAGCGCTCCAAGGCTGCGCACGAGTGGCTCAGGACGGCCCCAAGACGGCCCAAGAGAACCCCAAAACGACTTCGAGAGGGGTCCCAGAAGGAGAAAGCCACTCTCGAATTCCGAGCTTCCGGCCCAACATATCCCAGGAGGCGCCAAAACGCCGCCCAGAGGCGCCAAATGTCTTCCAACATCAGCCCAAGACGTTCCGAGAGGCACCCCAAGAGAGGTCCAAGAAGCAAAAATGGTCCCATTCCCATTGGAAAACGTATACATTTCGCATGGTCGCCTGTTGGGTTTTCGCCGCG